TCTCCAATTAGATTACTCCGAAGATTTAAAAAAGTCAGAGAAGAATTTGATTCTAGAGCCTTTGCCAAAGCTACTGCTCCTGTAGCTCTAATCTGATTGTATTCCAAATCCAAAGAAGTCAGAGAAGAATTTGATTCTAGAGCCTTTGCCAAAGCTACTGTTCCTGTATCTCCAATCCCATTACTAAACAATTTCAAAGAAGTCAGAGAGGAATTTGATTCTAGAGCCCTTGCCAAAGCTATTGCTCCTGTAGCTCCAATTTGATTATCCTGGAGAACCAAAAAAGTTAGAGAGAAATTTAATTTTAAAATTTTTGCTAAGATTATGGCTCCAGCATTTCTAATTTGATGCCCTTTAAATTCTAATAATAGACACTTATTATGATTTTGATAATTTTGTGCTTCTAATTGATCAAAAAAAGATAATAGCTGTCTGTAGAGAGTTTCATTTGGTTTGATTCCTAAGACTTTACTAATGTCATCCAATGCCTTGTTATACTGACAAATATCAAGACAGATAGCTGCTCTTATGCTCAATGTATTTGCATAATCTTCTAGTTGAGTTACTAATAACTTGTTGAAATCATTTAATGCATTATCATACTGTTTGAGTGCATAATAAATCTTTCCTCTTACTCTCAATGCAATTGTATTATCTGGCTCAGTAATTAACAATTTATTCAAATTATCCAATGCATTGTCATACTGATTAACCCCACATCTGATGATTTCCTTTTCTTTTAAGATAAATATGTCACTTGGATCTATTCCCAGTGATTCATCAAGATCATATAATGCATTGTCATATTGCCCAAGCATGAGATAAACATGCCCTCTTAGATGTTGTGCCATTATGTCAGTTTGTTTAATTTTCAATAACTTATTGAGATCTTTTAATGCATTGTCATACTGACAAAGATTGAGATAGACAGCTCCCCTTGCAATCAAAGCATTTGCATTATTTGATTCAATCTCCAATAATTTATTAAGATCCCTTAATGCATTGTTAAACTCATCAAACATAGAATAAATTTTTCCTCTTATTTCCAATGCAATTATACTACTTGGTTCAATCTCTAATAATTGGTTGAAATCATTCAATGCCATGTCATACTGGTTAAGAATGCAGTAGACATTTCCTCTGACTTCTAATGCAAGTGCATTATTTGCATCAATCTTTAATGATTGTTTGAGATCTTTAAAAGCTTGTTTGTACTCTGATTGTTGCATATAATATTTTCCACGTTGTGCCCATGCTCTAGCATTGTTTGGGTTATTTTTTATTGCTTGAGTTATGCAATCATAGCATTTTTGATAATTTAAATTTTCCATATATGCAATGGCAAGGTCAATTTGAATTGTTGTGCTGTTGGGATAATGAATAAGTGCTCTTTTGAACCACAATATTGCATCTTTATATCTTTTTTCATCAAGGGCTTTCTTGCCTTGCCTATATGTAGGATGTAGGTTTTTTGGTCTTTTCATTCTTTGTATGATTGTTTTCTTTGGTTTCATTTTGAGCAAATATAAAAACTTTGATTTTATAATAGAAGATTCCTCAACATCATCATTATCATCCTGACTTGCCACAATAGTTGTAAAATCCTTTGATTTGTCTTTTGGTGTGATATGTCCAGCTGTAACAAATTTTTTATATAATGCTTTGTAAATTGGTGAGCTTGGTATTTTCTCAGTTTCATCCAATTGACATTTTTTTCTACAATAAAAGCATCTCAGTTCAAGACAGTTCATACTCATGAATGTCTTCAATGCCAGATAACTGATTTTGTGCTTACATGGAAGTATTCTAAAATCATCTGTAACTTCTTGTGTAAATGGACATGTAAGATGATCTGCAACCATGTCTAAAATCAATAAATCTTTTGGATTTGAATTAAAAAGTTTTTCAGGTGTCCAGTCTGGCTTTTTTTCTTTCTGTCTTGAGACTGAAATTGTTCTGCTGCTTGCCCGATTAATATATGTATATTTGTTATCAATGTATTTTCTCATGTCTTGAAATCTTTCTTTATCTTGGTCCAAAGTTGACAAACCTTCAGCATGTTGATTTAGATCAACTTCTGCAACAGAAAATGTATCCATATCCAAATCTTTTCTATAAAGTGTTACTAGAACTTCCATTGCTTTAAATTGAATAAACTCTACTCTTACTATGTCCAGAGATAATTTTGCAAGATAGTAACAATGAGCCAATGTACTAATATTTTTTGTAGATATTATAAGATTTCGAGCAATATCCAGTATACCAAACAATAGAGAGTATGGAACTGATTCTGAGATATGATCTGACATGATTTTTAGTTTAAATTTATATCCATTTGTTTTTGATTGTGCTGAAACTGCTTTATTCCATTCTTGGTCTCCAAATCTCCAAAGATCCTTAATAATCATCAATTCTCCTTTAACAACCAGATTCTTATGAATTGGAACAGCTGACCATTCAACAAAAGCTTGATACATGCTATATAAATATCTCCATTCCTTGTACCAATGACCCACAGAGAACTTAGATTGTAAGGTCTTGTGAATCTTGCTATAAATATCAATAGTAGCTTTGTTATCAATTGGAGTTTCTACAGTTGTCATAATGCCAGTCATGCTAGGTAAAGTCTTGACAAGTGCAGAAAACAGAGCCTTTAACTGATTTATAATTTCAAGCCAAGCAGTTTTCTCATCATTCATCATATGAAGAGTATCATAAAGATGCATAAGTAAAAAATCAATGTTGTAATCCTGAACTTTAACATCTTCCTCCAAATTAGCCAATAAGCCACATGTAGGTTTTAAGCCATTTTCTAATTCTCTAATACAAGACTGATGAAACTCATGTAGTTTTACAAGACTCTCATACAAACTTTCATAAAATTTCCTTGTCATTTTAAGAGGTCGCCTGCCATATACTTCCAAAAGCAATGCATATACTCTAAGATGCAGTTCCAATTCCATACTGGTAGCCATTTTGTAGTAATCATATTCAACTCCACTTGCTATGATTTTCAAGGCCTTTACTAATTGATCATCATCCAATAAATTGCCAAATAATAGTAACAGGTTGTATAATTTAATGAGATGACCTGTTCTGCCATTGTTGTTGACAATTGATTCTATGTTGGTTGTTAACTGATCATTTAATTCAGCACTGCTCAGATTTGGGGGAAATAATTGTTCACAGTCTTTAGAATTGTCATTCTCACTATCACTTTCAAAAATGATAAGGTCTACATTCTTAGTCTCTGCGTCTCCATGCTGCTTCTCCTTCCCTTTGTTTTTGGTACCTGAAGATGATTGCTGTCCAATCTCCTAGTAATATTGATATTAAAGTGAGTGTGAGAATTTGCTAATACAGTAATAATAAAGGGGTTGTTTAATTCCCTGATACGGAAAACTTGAGTGGACGTATAACCAAACTTACCCAAATGTCTGCAGGCGACTCATTATCCATATTAAATACAGAAGTTTGTATTGGTCTTCTCAATATCACTGAAGATAGAAATTCAATGCAACACTACGTTTGTGAAAAGAGCTTGTGTGATACAATCGGAGTTGAAATGAACCAATCATTAGTGACTTCGATTCGACGTTTAAACACAAGCAGAAGAGGATTACTTTTACGGTCCATTCTATATTTCATAACCCATAGCAGTGATTGCAGTCCGCAATTAGGGGGCATTTATACGGGTGACGGGATTACATCCCGACTTTAATTCAGTTGTACAGTAGAGCGACATTCGCAGATCACGAAATCTAAACAGGTATATAACGAGAGGGCCAAAAGAAAAGCCAAAACAAACAAGTTCGGATACATTATTTAATACATTTGCAACACGTTCATACTCAGCTGCTTCAGCGCAGCGAAGCAGCAGCTGGTGTAACAGCTGTCGGCTGGTATTGGCTTTGTCGCCGATAATCTCACTGTTCGAGCTTGAGCTGATGCATGGATCGGATCGCTCACAGTATTCCCTGCCTTTTTCAGATTCACAGCGATTGCAATTTTTTGGATATTTATTCGAACGAACCGAACAGACGAAATCACCAAGCCATGGGCCTCTCTTTCTCCTCGTTGCATTTAGGATCACATCTGTTGCAGTATAACGTGTTTGCAATATTGGCTGTGACGTTGATATTACCTGCGGGTGTGAAGGCTAGAGATTTAGTCGATAATCCGTAGGTATTAGTAATAGATCAGGACTGGTATTGGCAGATGTATTGTGTGAAAGAGTCTGTCGTATTGGTATGTATGCAGTTGTTTTCGTTGCGAATCGGCTATCGGACGGAGCGAATCTGAAAAAAGGCTTTAACGGTTGGAAATTATATATAGGTTGGGATATTTTGGTAATATGGATTGGAATTTGCTAGGCGACAAATATTGGCGAGTTGGTAGTGATATGTGCTATATGTGATCTTCATGTACATGTCGTGCACTTGTGTTTGATCTGTTTTGTTCATTTACCAATTTCTCTTAAAATATGCTTTCTCAACATTACTTTAACAGTAGTCTTGCTTGGTGCTCCAATACCATCAACGTTTGAATCTCACATAAGATAACGATCGCGCAGAGAGAAATGGAAAGGAAAGCGAGCATTCTAAACAGCCGGAAGTCAGTCGTGCCGGCGGGGATTCAGCAACTCCGTGGAGTGAACGTATTTTCTCGATAGCAGATCAGCGTCAGTTTTGTATATCTCGTCAAATTGGGATTGTTCTGTGAAGTATGCTGAATATTCGGCACTTTATGCCGGGGACACTGAAATCACTGGTCTATACTTTTATGGTAACTATTTCCAAGAAAAAGCACTCGATCATATGTAACGCACTTTCGCAAAAAAATCTTGCCATTTTAATCTATGATTTTATTCCAAACCATAAAGTCACGTGGAAGTTCACGATTTTTATTCAGGATGTTATCTTGACAAGCACATTCACGAAAAAAATGCATCTACGCGGATAATTCTTTCGAGATTATGTAAGACTTTAAGTCAAAGATCACTATTTAACATCCACCGCCAAATTATTCTGCTGGGATGCTAAAAGTGCATCGGGAGCACCTATACTCGAAGTAGATCGGCGACGCTTCTTATTGGGGCCCTATAATGAATTGAAAATTTTAGTGCCAGCACATCAATCACAAACCCTCAAATATACTTACCTTTCTGGTCTACTAAACAAAGCAAACGTTTCAATTCGACCAACTCCCTATCTAGATCTTTTGCACTCGCTCCCGTTTTGCTCAAAGCAAAATCGATCCACCACACACGGCTCTGACCCGTCAAGTGATTTTTCTCTGCCATTATATTCTCCAATCTAATATCACCATGCAATACCCCTCTTTTATGGATCGCTTGTAAGCCCTCAACGGCCAACAGTTTCTCCTTTTTCATAACGTCATTTCCCAACTTCGCAAACGAAATTCCAGCTGATGTCATAAGAATGAAGACAAACGCTTCATGAAGAACTCCGAATCGTAGAAGCTTTGGGATATGCATGCCTTGAATGTCGATGAGTGGTCCGACGTAAATTCTGATTTCATTAAGCATTTCCTCCAGTAATTCCTTGTTTTTGTATAGGTCAGCCAGTTTGAGAGCGCCTGTCTTTCCACAGAGTTTAGCTGTCAGAACAACTCCTGATCGACCATGTCCCAGTACACTTCCAAACAAAAACCGACTACGATTATAGTTTCTCATCTTTTCGATTTTAACTTCACCTTGGAGGGATGTAAATTTATTTGACCAAAAATAATTACTCTCATCTTCATATTCGGGACCATTTCCAAATTCGTCTTCGTCATCTTGGACATTGTCATTGTCATCATTGTCGTCACCTTGGACATTGTCATCGTCATCTTCGACATATTCAAGGTCAGTAGTAGGTGGTGAAGAGTGCACAAATGGGTCTGCCATGCATAGATCTTCGAAATAATGCATACATTCTAAGAACGAGGGTTGAGTCGACGTGTGGCTTTGATCGATATCAACAGAAGGAGAAATGTAAAGAATATCTGGATCTTCATTTTGACGGTGGAGGAACCACGTTCGAGTGTATGATGTGAGTAGGCCGTATCGCATATCATTAATGACCATATATCCGAAAATCTGCTGAATCAGTTTGACGATTTTGTGATAATGTGTATATTCAGTTGTGCCATCATCAATCATGTCCACTGTGCTGTTGTACTCCTCGTGTAAATGAATTTGGTTTCCTTCGTCCACATCGACAGGTTGGTTGTGCACGTTGATTAATTCCTCCCCCAGCGCAATTCTCATAAGCCATTCAGGTTTAATTTCAACTACTGAAAATAAATAATCAACTGCCCATGACTCTAATTCGTCATTATTATCAGTGCTACCAAATATAGCATCTGGATGACCCACAATATCCACAAAATAACCATGCTTGCACCATGTTGCTGGTTTCAGCAGGCAAATTAATCTTTGCTTGTTGAAGGTGTTCATCGTTTGTAAAAAAAGATCAGTCGTCATATCTTCATTTGTTATTTTGATTGCTCATTGGGCAACAGGGCTCTTAAATGTAAGAGCGTTTGCATCATAATTTAGTGATGCATTAAATGCTTCAGTAAAAAATGTCTCCCATAACTGCACAGGTTTTTTAGGTGCTTTTCGCGTCAATGATTCTGTTGTGTCCTTTGTGGCATTGGGAAATAATTGAGGTGGTGGGAGAACTATTCGGAAAAATTCTTGCTCAGTGAGAAGGTCTAGGATGCAAGCAAGACAGAAAGGAAGGGAAAAGCACAAGTTAGTCGACGTCACAAACAATATACCAAAATATAACGACAGTGAGGGAATTTAATGTGTGGTGTGAGCAGTAAGCAAGATAATTAATTACCAGTAGGGGCCTCAACAATTACATGGATGTGCCTTCTTTTTGGGGTGACAGTCCAGTAATCATCGATATAGTCTGTTGCCTTTAACTGGTTGTTATCTTGTAAAAGTTGAGGTTGTCCTTGAATAAGGTCAGCACGATCAGCTGGGATTACCACTTTCCACAGTTTCAAGTCTTTGGCATCAATATTAGCAAATGTCTGCACATTTTTTGCCTTAATAGCATCTTTGAGGTGGCTTATTAACTTATTACTATTGTAATTGATATCGATGGCAAAGGCATTCTCAGGTAAGTTTCCCTTAATCAAACAGACTAAAGTAATAGACATGATTTGGTAGATTGTGTAACTGTGGTATGGATGGACAAGAAGATTTTTTCGTCAATTTAGGGTGCTATGGGTATACAGTGTGTTAAGAAAAAAATGGTGGTGATGAAAAATTGTATATCTCAATGATTACAAATGTAAATTAAACAAATTTAGGTTTATTTGAAAACTTATTAGGTACTTTATTTAATAGTAAATTTTAATATGAAATTCTATTGCCATCATGCAAAAAAATAGCTTCGCATCTGCTTTGCATGGAGGAGACTAAATTATTAACTATCTCCTGAGGAATTGCATCCCATTCCTC